GCACCGTGACGTCACTAACCAGTAGGTGGCAGTAGTGTTCTTTGACAAACATGCATGCCTCGAGTAAAGCACATTCACATGAAAATTACTCTGAATTAAAAACACTGATCATTTATTGAACAGGATGGAATCATTTCAGATTTAAAGAACTTTCAGAAGTTTGAATTCTGAATATGAGCGACTTTTGCTTTCATTATAAATATTAGCAGGTGATGCATGGACATTCATCAGATTTGTTTTCCCTTTATGTTTGTGCCAATCACAACATTCCCAAACCTGCAGTCTGATTTAACAGAACACTAAGCTTGTTTAAAACTTTAAGCTTAAGGGTTTCTTGTGGAGTACCGCCGGAATAAAGGCTTTAAATTGATAAAATTATCAGACAGCATTAGATTAAGGTCTGCCGCTATGCAGATGATATTCAGATATATTTGTCCGTAAATCCAGAAGAAGTTAACCCTTTAGATTAGTAGCTCATTTTAGTTATTTATTTATTTATTTTGTTTGGCCTCCCTTTGGTTACAAGTAATTGAAACGAGCTGGTTTTGTAGTTCCCACTACTAGTTCCAACAAGTTGGTCCCAAATACTGTAGGTATGTGTCCTCCATAGATCTCCAGATCATTGCTTTTTAAATGTTCTTCTGTTATAGATCAAATGGGTGCAGTGTTATTAGGGTTGTTTATTAACTGGATCTGTGATTTTATTGCTCGTGAGTCGGACCCGTTTATTTCAGACGAGCAGTGATCTCAAGCATTTTCAGCCCACCTCCCAAACATTGGTCCTTCCTGAAAGTCTTCCTGTTTCATTGTGGTTGTTCTCCTGTATTCAGAATGAAATGAATGCAATGCTCACAGCGCCACCTAACAGCAGCATGAATGAAAGCAGCTCCGCTTTGTGTCATTTTGAAGGAAATAATTCTGCATCAGATTCCAGGCTCCTTGCGTGTAAATTATGTTTCTATTTCAGGTCTTGTAATCCCTTCCGATTAATAGGCAGCGGTGGTGGTTCTGAAGGGGGGGTTGTTGACAGGTTTGAGTCTGCAGGTTTGCAGGATTAAAAACTAAATCCTCTTATTCTGCAAGAGGCAGTAAAAAAAAAGAAATGCAGCTGCAGCAACATGGCCGCTCTGCTCTGAAAGAAATCTTTCACGTTTGCAGAGCCTCAAATCATTTTGGCTTAAACATGTATATAAATGTACTTTTTATCAGACCATATTGTCCCACAAATTATATTTAAAAGAAAATCCTGTCTTGAAATCTGTGTTTTTCCGTTATCTTCTGCAAGCCAGTTAGTTCTACGTCAGCCTGAACACCTAAATTCGGCCAATCATATATCA